ACGTGGGCGATGCTACAATCACAGTCATTTGGCTCAGGTGAAAAAAATCACTGCAGCCAGGTGCATCTCTGTCTCCCTCCCATTCTTTCCAGCCTGTGCTGCAAGCCAGCAGACGCTTTGGATGCACTTCACAAGCTACTGGTGCCACCTAGTGATACTAGCGTTAACACCAGCAGGGATATTTCCAAGAGCTGGAAACTTGGTTATTAAGGGGTTTACTGCTTACTGCTGTGAAGCTTCTATGGAAATAAACGAAGACCACCCAAATGAGAACAAGTAGAGGCTATTGATTCAGAACTTTCAAACAGCAAGACAGTNCAAGAGCTGGAAACTTGGTTATTAAGGGGTTTACTGCTTACTGCTGTGAAGCTTCTATGGAAATAAACGAAGACCACCCAAATGAGAACAAGTAGAGGCTATTGATTCAGAACTTTCAAACAGCAAGACAGTCAATTACAATTAATTGTATTTGGCAGAGACTCCAGTACAAGTGGAGAATCAAATGCTAGTGGAAAAGGTTTAGAAAAAAGGTTTAGAGAAAAGGCATCAGGTGCCCTGAGTTGAAAGTTGTTGGCTTTGGGAGGCTGGAGGCCGGAGCATCTTTTGTGACTGGGTTTGGAGAGGTTATTTGGCTTTCTATGGTTGGTTCTGAGTTGGTAGTGGGGGCAAAAATTAGAGAAGCTGCAGTCACTGACTAAGTCCTGAGTATTCTGGGCCCATTGCTATAGAGGCTGTGGATCAGAGTTCTGTTGTCATATATGGTCCAGCCTGTGTCTGTCTGTATATCTAGCCTCTTAATTCAGTAGCCATTCTAAATACAGTCTGTATTGAGACTGTTGTTACTAATCATGAAACATTACATAGAATTATCCATATGAGAAGCAGCTTGACTGCAAATCAACTTCTGTGATTTTCAAAGCCTGCCCTTTCAATTTTTGATTTAGGGTTTATATTTGATATAACGGTTTGATTTTGCTGTCCATGATGTCCTACTGTGTACAACATTGCTCTCCCAAGTGAAATCCACATGGGCCTCAGGGACTCCTCAACTGCACCTGTGTGGGTGACTGTAATTCCTTGAGATGCTGCACCTGTTCCACCATCACGCACCACCTCCTCCATCTACTACCACCTGCAGCTCCATCACCACCGCCACAAGATCGATGGTTCTCAAACTGTGTTCCCAGGCCCACAGGCGGCAGCATACCAAAACTTGTTAGAACTGCAGATTCCCAGGCTCCACGCCAACCAACAGAATCAGACACTGGGGACAGGGCCAGCCTTCAGGGCGTTCTGATGGATGCTAAAGTTAGACAGCCTCCGCTTCAGGGGAATTTCTAGGATGCCACAAGGGGCTCAAGTCAGATCTTCCACGATGTTGCCTCCGAATCTGTGAAACAACTTTTGTTTATCTAGATAATATAAACGACAATACTTGCTAACATTTAGTGACACCTGGTGTTACGCACGTCACATACAGTTTTGGCTTTCAAAAGTCTGAGAGGCAGGATCTGTTTATACCTCCATCTGACAAGCGAGGAAGAGAGGCTCCAAAAGGCGAGGTACCTTGTCCCTAACATTATACAGGTTACACAGAACTGAAAACAGGCTTATCTGGCTCCAGAATGTTGCTCTTAACTGTTAAAGACACCAATTGCTGGACTTCCCTGGCGGCCCACTGGTTAAGACTCCATGCTTCCAGTGCAGAGGACATGGCTCTATCTCTGGTCTGGGAACTAAGGCCCCATATGCTACATGGAGAGGTCAAGAAAGAAAGAAATAATCAAACAAAAAAGATGCTAATTGCCACATGGATGGAAGTCTAGAGAATTTGTATAGCTTTAGTCAGAGTCCCCGCCCCAATTTGCCTGAAGTCAAACAGAGGCCCAGACAGACCGTGTGAGGTCATGTGGTTACCTCTTTTATCTTGGGGGAGGGGGAATCAAAAATTATTTTCTTTATCCTTCTGCCAAACTAATTTCCATCTACAGTTATTTTTTAAGGTAAAAAGCAGTGAGTCAACTGAAGGGCTGTGGCCTTGGCTAGGCCATGGTCACACTGTGACACTCGACTGAGACCCTGGGCCGTGTGGGGATGAGCGGGACTGGACCCGGCTCAGGGAAGCGTCTCCAGGAAGGCTCTGTGGCACCACGCCCTCTGCTGGTAGACAGGCTCAAGGTCAGTGTAGTTGCCATAATAGGAATCTTCAACAATGAGTTGTTTTGGGGATCATAGCTCCCAGGTCAATTCAGTTCAGTCACTTAGTTGTGTCCAACTCTTTGCGATCCCATGGACTGCAGCACACCAGGCCTCCCTATCCATGTCACCAGCTCCTGGAGTTTACTCAAACTCATGTCCATCAAGTCAGTGATGCCATCCAACCATCTCATCCTCTGTTGTCCCCTTCTCCTCCCGCCTTCTATCTTTCCCAGCATGAGGGTCTCCTCCAATGTGTCAGTTCTTTGCATCAGATGGCCAAAGTATTGGAGTTTCAGCTCCCAAGCAGTTTGGTTTTTGCTCTATTTTTAATTTGATTGATTTTTCTATTCAAAGGTCTTAGGTCACCTTCATCCATACATACTATATAATGAAAAGCTGCGAACTCTTTTTGGTAACCCAGACATAAACAGCACTGACTGGGTCACCTGTTCTGCCATCTTCCCTCCTGCCTAGAGGCCCCCACTTATGTGGTTACCTCTTAATTAGGGGGCTAGAACCTAGGGCCTGTGGTTTCAAATTAAGTTCTCAATAAGCCCTTTGGTGAATTAAAGGCACATAAGAATACTCTACTCCTTTGGGACAAGAGTGGATCCATAAACCAGAGGAAGCTTGTTGTTCAGTTGCTCAGTTGTGTCCAACTCTGTGACCCCATGGACTGTAGCACGCCAGGCTTCCCTGCCCATCACCAACTCCTGGAGCTTACTCAAACTCATGTCCATCAAGTTGGTGATGCCACCCAACCATCTCATCCTCTGTCGTCCCCTTCTCCTCCTGCCTTCAATCTTTCCCAGGATCAGGGTCTTTTCCAATGAGTCAGTTCTTTGCCAAAGTATTAGAGTCTCAGCTTCAGCGTTAGTCCTTCCAATAAATATTCAGGACTGATTTCCTTTAGGATAGACTGGTTAGATCTCCTTAAAGTCCAAGGGGCTCTCAAGAGTCTTCTCCAGCTCAAAAGCATCAATTCTTTGGTGAGCAGCCTTCATATGGCCCAACTCTCACATTTGATCTCTGGTTCCTCTGCCTTTTCTAAATCCAGCTTGAACATCTGGAAGTTCTCAATTCACATACTGTTGAAGCCTACCTAGCTTGGAGGATTTTGAGCATGACCTTGGTAGCATGTGAAATGAGTGTAATTGTGGGGTGCTTTGAACATCCTTTGGCATTGCCTTTCTTTGGGATTGGAATGAAACCTGATCTTTTCCAGTCCTGTGGCCACTGCTGAGTTTTCCAAATTTGCTGGATATTGAGTACAGCACTTTAACAGCATCATCTTTGGGGATTTGCAATAGCTCAGCTAGGATTCCATCACCTCCATTAACTTTATTCGTAGTGATGCTTCCTAAGGCCCATTTGACTTCACACTCCAGGATGTTTGGCTCTAGGTGAGTGATCACACCATCATGGTTATCTGGGTCATTAAAATCTTTTGTATAGTTCTTTTGTGTATTCTTGCCTCCTCTTCTTAATATCTTCTGCTTCTGTTAGGCCCATACTGTTTCTGTCCTTTATTGTGCCCATCTTTGCATGAAATGTTCCTGTGGTACCTCTAATTTTCTTGAAGAGATCTCTAGTCTTTCCCATTCTATTGTTTTCCTCTATTTCTTTGCATTGTTCACTTAAAAAGGCTTTCTTACCTCTCCTTGCTCTTCTTTGGAACTCTGCATTCAGATGGATATATCTTTCCTTTTCCCCTTTGCCTTTCTCTTCTTTTCTTTTCTCAGCTATTTGTAAGACCTCCTCCTCCTCAGACAATCATTTTGCCTTTCTGCATTTCTTTTTCTTGGGGATGGTTTTGAGCACCACCTCATGTACAATGTTATGAACCTCCATCCATAGTTTCTCAGGCACTGTCTATCAGATCTAATCCCTTGAATTTATTTGTTACTTCAAAGTGTATAATCCTAAGGGATTTGATTTAGATCATAACTGGATGGTCTAGTGGTTTTCCCTACTTCCTTCAGTTTAAGTCTGAATTTTGCAATAAGGAGTTCACGATCTCAGCCACAGTCAACTCCCGGTCTTGTTTCTGCTGACTGTATAGAGCTTCTCCATCTTCGGCTGCAAAGAATATAATTAATCTGATTTCGGTATTGACCATCTGGTGACATCCACGTGTAGTGTCATCTCTTGTATTGTTGGAAGGTGTTTTCTATGACCAGTGGGTTCTTTCGGCAAAACTCTGTTAGCCTTTGTCTTGTTTCATTTTGTACTCTGAAGCTTGGAGGGTATAGTTAGTGGCTGGCCATACTTGAAACCAGCAGAGTTAGGTGTGACTTCTGTCTTGGGAACTTCAAAAGGGTCTGTACATCTTGGGAAATGGGAGTTGGATTATTAGCTGGCAGCGCAGGAGTCCCCAAGTTTTCCTGCACTCCTTAGGCTGTTAGTGGCAGTCACACTTCCAGCAGCAGGCATGGGCCACGTCTCCAGGGTCTTTCCACTTGTGAGTCCCTGGCAGACTTCTCTGGAAAGCTGTCACCCACGTGGAGATAAAGGGTCATGAATGTAGAGGTGACTGTGGTACCCCAGCGCAGGCAGCCTCCAAGTCCCAAATAGCAGAGCAGAAGACCACTGGCCTTCCCTGGCTGATTTCCAAGCTCTGCTCCGCTCCTTTTTGCTTGGTAGAGCTATCTGGCCTTCTTCTGGTTCTTGACAGTTAAACAAACTCCCCCAGAACCTCACACCAAACACCTTCCTATCTGGGGGCTTAATTCTTTCTGTGGCTGAACACCCTCCCACCCGTACCACCCTCCCCTCTTCTCCCAAGTAGCTGCCATCCTGGGGGTCTCGTTGCTCAAATTTTGGCTCTGTGCACCAGTGCCAAACAGAAACATGGAGACAGTTATGTAGGAGAAGGAAAGAGTGGCTTTATTACTTTGCCAGTCAAGGGGGAACACAGTAGGCTAGCACCTCAAGAACTGTGCCCCCCTCCCTGGTAAATAGGGAGGGGTTATATAGTCTGGCAAGGGTACCTGAGAAGGATCAAGATGGTAACATTCTGCAAAGTTTCAAAAGGGTGAGGTTGCTGACAAGGTTAGGGTGTGCAGCGGCTTGGATAGTTAGGTCTCCTAATTCTTGATGGCCCTTTAATCTTGCCTCAGGTGGTTTCCTGGCTGCTCCTCCCTTGATTAGCAACTGTTCTGCCCTTTGGGACTCAGAGAAGGTCGTGGAGGCTGGAGTCTTGCCTACAAGAAACGGGGGACAAAGAGACCTTCGTGTCCAGGAGACCCGCAGGGCGCAGCTCGGCATCGTCCCCATTGTTCCCTTCTTTCACGGTGGGATCTTCCTCAAAAGTGATGAGCCTGCAAGGTCAGGATGTGTGTTTCCATGTTCCCAGGACCTCGCACGGTAGATATTATTGAGCCTCGATAAATATTAGATTGAGTTTAAGAAATATAGACTTGGTTGAATGAATGAGCATTCCGGAGCCACAGCCCCGGAGTCCAAACGCGTTCTCCAAATCAGGGCAGCCTGGGAATCCCCCCGTCCAAGGACAACACCCCCCCTCCCCCAACCCACTCCTCCCACCACCCTCCCGGTCCCGCTCAATGGAAAACCAGACCTGTGTTCTGGAAACGGCTGTCAATTTACCCAGCGTCCCCGCGTTTCCACGCTCTTTGTAAGGAAAGCTACCATGTCATTGGAGAGACAGACGCACAGTGGAGAGACCGGATGTGGAGGGCACGTTTGGGGTTAATTCTACTTGTGGGGCCCCAGGACCCGAGGGCCGGGTGAGTCTCAGCCGGAGTCTGGGTCGCGTTCGCTTTAAAGGGGCGGTTCCCGAGCCGGTGGGCGGGCGGTCCCGGAAGACGCGCGTTGCGCGGCCTGGGCGTCGGGATCCCAGCTCCCCGGTGCCCCCAGTCCCGATTCCCGGTCCTCCGACCCCCGACCCCACTAGTCCCGATCCCCGGTCCTCCGCTCCGCGACCCTCCGCTCTCCTTCCCTGCCCCTGGCGCCCAGACCTCCAGTGCCCTTGGGACCTCGGCTCTCTGGAGCCCCCACCCGACTCCTCCCCACCGCGCGCTCGCGCCCTGGTCCTCGGCTTTCGCGCTGCCCCCGCCCGCGGCCCCAGCTCTCCACCCCTCGCCTTATCTGGTTCTTCCTCACCCCCACCAGGCTCTCCGCACCGCGGCCCTCCGATCGGTCCCCCTCGCGCCCCTTCGCGCAGCCCCGCTGCGTCCTGGCCCTCGGCGGGTGCACTCTGGCGCCGGCGGGCGTGCGCGGTGACCCTGCAGTCGCCGGGCTCGGTCTCCGCCCGCGCGGCCACCTCGCGCAGGTCACGTCCCTGTCCTGGGGACTGCACACGGCCGGCCAGGTCTGAGCGCCCCCTTCATCTCGCTGCTGCCCCGTTCTTTAGCGGAATACTCAGCGGAGGCCCGGACTCATGTCCGCCTTGCGAAAAGAAGGAACATAGATGGGCCCTCCTTAAGTGGAGGCAGGCAGCTGAGGCCGTGACCTCTGGGAGAGGATGGTGACCCCCTGGCGCTTCTCTCTCAGGGTCTGCTTGGCGCACTTGAGAGGTTTTGCGCTCAGAAAGGAACTCGGCCTTCTGAGACCCTCTGAGGGCTGTCGCAAGGCTAGACTCTGTTGGCTTCTGCTTGGCACTTTGCCCAAACTCGTCTCCACCTATGAGGACATTGGCGAGGGGTCTCCGGAGAGCGTACGTCGGCAGAAGACCAGTTGGAGTGACCTGGCTGAAAATGGGCCGCTGGAGAGAGTCCCTCCGGAGGGGCGGCTGGGCTGGCTCCTCCTGCACGTGCGCATCTGGCTCAGAGCAGGGGCTCTCTTGGTGAAATTCTTCCCCCTCCTCCTACTCTATCCCCTCACCTACCTGGCTCCCAGTGTCTCCAGTCTCTGGCTCCACCTGCTTCTGAAAGCCACCGAGACCTCTGGCCCCACCTACATCAAACTGGGCCAGTGGGCCAGCACCCGGCGGGATCTCTTCTCAGAGGCGTTCTGCGCCCAGTTCTCCAGGCTGCACGTCCAGGTGTCGCCCCATCCTTGGACTCACACCGAACATTTCCTGCGCCAGGCCTTTGGGGAGGACTGGGGGAGGGTCCTCTGCTTTGAGAAGCAGGAGCCAGTGGGTTCTGGCTGCGTGGCCCAAGTGTACAAAGCGCGTGCCAATCCTGCCTTCCTGGAGAAGGACAGCATCCAGAGACTGGCCACGGCCTCTAGACTGCAGCTCTCCTTGGAAACTGGGGCAGGTGTGGGGCTGGACGAGCTCCCTGGACGCCTGGGGAAGGCGGGCAGGCCTCAAGAGAGTCTTGCCGACCAGTCATTTGTAGAAAGGCTGCTCTTCCCTAAAGCGGACGTGGTTGGATCCAATGCATCCTTGTCTCAGGCTTCAGGGCCCACCAGTGAACAGGAGCCAGATCACCTCGTCCCCGTGGCCGTGAAAGTAAGTGTTCTGATGTTTGCAGCCAGGCCCTCCCATCTCTAAAACCTCCTCACCAACTCCACGGAGCTACCCAGGTCAGGATACACCCCTTTGCAAATTACCCCACTTTGCCTTCCGTTGATTTCTTTCAGCTTGACCATTTTCTGAGTACCTGTGACACGCAAGCTGTTTGATTTCTTGGCTTGAAGGAGAGTGATGCGAATGGCCTGAAAAAGGAAGATGAAGAGGCTCTGGAGTTGGCTGTCTCTGCGGGGGGAGGACCCATCATCCATCCAGCTCACCTCTTGGCTCTGGGGTCGGGATAAATGGGAGACAGACTAGGTTAGGTGTGCTATGGCGAGTCCAAGAGGGCAGCGTTCATTTTAACAACATCAGCTTCCTTCTCTTCATTTCCAGTCACCCCTGCCCAGCTCCATCATCCTCTCCACACCTTTCCATCCCTGATCCGAACACCCCCAGGAGAACTAGCGGATGCTAGTAGCCAATACCCTGGTGCTCTCACCCTCACAGAAAAATCCCTCCCAAGGGTGCCTCACTGAGGCACCTAATTTCCAAGGCTGAATCCTAATTTCCAAGGGGAGAGTCCAACCTGGCTTTTTTATAAATGCTGCAAATGAGTCGCAACATCAGGCATGTTTAGGAAACACCTGTCCAAAGTATCTTGAAGTTTCCCTTTGCTGTGGGAGACTAAAGGAGTAGATGCCTGCTGTATACCAGGAAATGTGTCCCATTTATTTAATCTGTATGAGGTGCCTGAGGTAGGCTTTAAAAATTTTTTTTTGCTTATTTATTTGGCTGTGCTGGTTCTTAGCTGTGGCACGTGGGATCTCCTTCTCCCACCAAGGGTTGAACCTGGGCCCCCTGCATTGGGAGCCCAGAGTCTTAGCCACTGGACTGCCAAGAAGTCCCTGTACTAGTTTTTCTTACGTGTTTATTTACATTCCACTTTATTCTGAAAAGGATTTGTGGTGGAGGTAGAGGCTGTTATCTGCGTGTTTTAAATGATGAAACAGGAAGCTGAGAAGAGGTTGAGTGGCCGGTCCAGTTTCATACAGGGGATGAGTTGCAGAACTGGAGTTTTTGAAACCCAGAGCTCTTTCCATCTCACCTCTGGAGTCCTGTGACTAGAGCAGTATATTGCAGGCTTAGGACTACCTGACTCAGTTACCTGGACACTCAGTAAAATGCAGATTTCCACCCTGCCTCCCAGCCAGTCTGATTCAGTAGGTCTTGGAGGAGGCTGCGGGTCCACACTTTACCAAGCAGCCCATATTGGCCTTTTATGCTTGCTGATGTTTGGGAGCTGCTGATCTAAACTCAGTGTATTTGGAAGGGAAGCCAACCTATTCTTCCCAGCAAAGCTGAGTGCTGCTCAGGGGAGCTGCCCTTCTGTCCCCTCAGGAAGGCACAAAGGAATGGGTGTTGGAACTGCTTCCCCTCAGCCAGCTGATTGTCCTCTTTCTGTGGGGGGTGGTTGGGGGGACGTTGGCTGCACCACAAGGCATGTGTGATCTTCATTTCTCAACCAGAGATAGAACCTGCACCCCCTGCATTGGAAGCATGGAGTCCTAACTGCTGAATTGCCAGGGAAGTCCCCTAGATCTCTTTTGATGTTGGGACCCAGCCCTGGCTAGGCAAATGTGTCCGCCTGATTGATCCCTCCTCTGTCTCACTGTTCCTCTTTTGGCAGGTGTTGCACCCTGGCCTGCTCGCTCAGGTGCAGATGGACCTGCTGCTAATGAAGATGGGCAGCCGGGTCCTTGCACTTTTGCCAGGAATCAAGTGGCTCAGCTTGCCTGAGATCGTGGAGGAATTTGAGAAGCTCATGGTGCAACAGGTGAATTTGCCTTCTCTCAGTTGTAAATAGCACACAACAGTTTTTGCTGTTAGCAGCTGCTTCATAAATGCTGACTGGATGAGCATTTTTCTCAGGGCACCATGGCTAATGTAGAATGTTAGTCAGGATAGGTGATGCTCGTAAATAGCACACAACAGTTTTTGCTGTTAGCAGCTGCTTCGTAAATGCTGAATGGATGAGCATTTTTCTCAGGGCGCCATGGCTAATGTAGAATGTTAGTCAGGATAGGTGATGCTAGCTGATATAACAGAATATCCAAACCTCAGTGAGTTAAGGCAGCAAGGTTATTTCTTGCTATTCTATGGAAGTTCCATGCAGGTAAACTGAGGGAGCAGGTGGGAGCTCTATTCCATAGTTATTCAGGGACCCAGTTTCCTCCAAAATTAGTCATCTGGGGTCAGTATGGAATGGGGAGAGAGACCATGAAGGGTCATGTAAAGGATTCTGTGGCCAGGCCTGGAAATGATGAACCTCACTTCTTCCTAGGCTACATGTCAGGCCCAGTGTAACTTTGAGGGAACTTGGGGAAGGCAGTCTTGCATAGAGCCTGGGCTGCAAACGAAATGAGTCTGGTCGAATAGAGCATTATCTGTGCTGCAATCAATGGCCGCACTCCAGGAGGAGAAGAAGAATCAGCGAAGTCACACACTGTGCCTTTGTTTTCCTTTGTTTCTGGGGTTTAATGAGTAGACAAGGGCCCTGTCCAGGGCCTTTGGGACACCTGTTTAAGTAGCCAGACTCAGTAGACACTCTGGAGTCACTGAGGGCTCCAAGGAGCCATCTGTGCTGGCTTCCTGGTGGTTGGCACAGAAATTGACAGGCTTTCAGAGGCCGTGTGCCCAATCTTCATTTATGTCATCTGACTTAGGGTTTTAAGCCCCAGAGATGCATTTTCACGTTTAGAAAGCTTTGCTTTATGATATGGAGGTGTCTACTTTTGATAATAAAAGAAAATTAAAGCAGAAAAATAGCTGCTGTTCCAACACCCATCTTGGTGTTAATACTCTCAGTTCCACCACCCACCTGAACTTCGGTTCTGCTTCAAGAAGTCTGATAAGCACTGTGAGATGCCATCACTTCAAGTTCAGACCTCTATAGCTCTATAACTCACCCCATTTTGCCTCAAAAATCAACTCTTCCTGCCAGCTGTAGCTCTCAATGGTCCATAATGCTGCCTGGCTTGAAAGCTTAGAGTCTGGGTGTATGTAGAGGGATGTATGTTCATTTATAAATTCACACAACAAGTATTAAAAACTCTGTTAGGATCTGGTGAAAGAAAACAAGTTGGGTTCCCTGAATCTCCTCTGATGGTGGGACCCAGTCCTGGCTGGGCAAATGTGCCCTCCTGATTGGTCCCAAGAAGTATGTACTAGGAGGAGGAGGGCTGACGTGAAATATTTGCAGCACAAGTGCCAGTTCCAATAGGAGTTCTTACGGCTTCAGCTGGGCTTAGCTGAAGTGGTCATTCCACCCTGCGGGTCCAGGTTCCCGAGGCTTGAGTGGAATCTTGAAAGGAGAGTGTCTGCAGTTAGACCCAATGGGGGAAGAACATTCCAGTCAGGTGGAGTACAGAAGGCACTCAGAGGGGAAGTGTTAGGTGGGCTGGGATACTCCCGCTCTACAGATTGGGTGCAGCTGGAGTTTGGGGCTGTAAAAGGAGGAGGCTGTATCACAAGAGATGGAGCTGGAGGAAGAAGCTGGGCCCAGACCATGACCCACCTTGGACGTCTTCCTAACCAATGCAGACTCTATCCTGCAGGCGGTGGTGGGGGGCACCAGCAGATGGATTGTAGAGAGGGGAGCTGGGGGACAGGGAGCCCAACTAAGACACCTCTGCTGGGGTTCAGGTGACTGGTTTCGAGTCACCCTGGGATGGAACA